TGAAGGAAGACAAAAGAATATAAATATAAGAAAATAAATTCAGGTTAGTTTCTTGTTTGACCATACAGATACAGCAGCCTTGATCGCTTAATGGAATTTAACCCTGTATTTGCTGTATTCCCACTTAACTGCTATTCCAACTTTGCTTTGGGATTCTAGAAGGCAGGGTTGCAGGGTTTTCCAGGTGCCTTACATTTTTTAATGACTTTAAGTGGCCCATTCCTGGCTGCAGTGTTAGGCAGGGGCAGACATTTTTCTTGCCCACCCAGACAGAGTATCTTCACTAGCAGCCTACCTCCTGGAAATAAGCAGTTAACATGACTAGCTCTTGCCTTGGACATGAAACACTGCTGTAAGAACATGATGGTAGGACACGCGTGCATTGCAGGTGCAGACAATTCCTCTGGCTCTACCTGTGTGAGTCTGAGTGGCCCTGAGAGCCAACAGGGAACCATGTGCATGCTCAGGTCCAAAAGAGCTGTATTCACTGGTCAGGAGCCATGTATGCTGGGCAGAGCTATCAGCTCAGGCACAGCCCGTTGTGAATGTGGCTGGCCTGTCTCAGGGCATGAGCGCGGTCAGAATTCATCAGTATGATGAATTCTTACCTCTTACCTCAGCCGCCTCTGCTTGGCTGCATGGAGAAGAACCACCAGTACCACTGCACTTGCTTCCTTCCTTCAAGGCCTTGCTACTAGCAAAAAGCAAAGCTCTTTCAGAATCTAAGAAAAAAATAATCCAGCTTTAGTAAATAATAGAAAGGACAACACTATCACAATTATTTCCCTCTAGTCCACTCTCGTGAGACTCATCTTGCAGCCCTGCACTCAGCTCTGGGGCCGGTAGCATAAGAAAGACATGGACCTGTTAAAGCAGGTCCAGAGGAGAGCCAAGAAGGTGATTAAAGGGCTGAAGCACCGCTCCTGTGAAGACAGGCTGAGGGAGCTGGGGTTGTCCAGCCTGGAAAAGAGAAGGCTCTGGGGAGACCTCATTGCGGCCTTCCAGTACCTCAAGGGGGCCTACAGGAAAGCTGGGGAGGGACTCTTTGTCAGGGATTGTAGTGATAGGAAAAGGGGGAATGGCTTTAAAGTAAAAGCTGTTAGATTTAGATTAGATGTTAGGAAGAAATTCTTCTCTCATAGGGTGGTGAGGCCCTGACACAGGCTGCCCAGAGAAGCTGTGGATGCCCCATCCCTGGAGGTGCTCAAGGCCAGGCTGGATGGGGCTTTGGGCAACCTGGTCTGGTAGGAGGTGTCCTTGCCCATGGCAGGGGGTTGGAATTGGGTGATCTTTAATTTCCCTTCCAACCCAAACCATTCTGTGATTCTACAATGCTGTGGCAGAATGAAGCTCACTCTTATAAGCAAGCAGTTCACGTTCTCTGAATTCATCTTCCATGGTGATTTCAGATCCCTGCCTCCATTGTGTTTCTTGCTTCCTGTACGTGTCCTTCTCTGAGTCCATGTGTCTTTAATTCTGTCAGAGCTCCTTGTGGTGGTATTCTGTAAAACTCAAGAATACTGTATGCTTTATCCCCACTGTTTTGTTGAGAGCACCAGCTGAAAAGTTTGCCAGATATTTTGAAGGACTTTATTCCTTAGCTAATAATGAGTCTTCTAAGCAGCTTTTTAAAATTAAATACTTCTTTTAGTATAGCTAATGTTTCAGTCTAAGACCTCCATACTAATTTGAGGTCAGACTGATCATAGGTCATTTGCTGTCCTTATTCTGTTTGCTTCTTTCCCTTTTGCATGCCTCCCGTTCTTTAAGAAAAAGTGCCTGAATATCTCATCCCAGTTCTGAAGCTTACTGTATAGTTGTAAGTTTTCGTGGTAATCCTGCTTTATAGATTGTTCTTATCACTGCCTCTGTTTGAAAGAGGCTTTTCTTCAACAATTTATTTCCAGTTTAAAGCTTGTGGTCATGCTATTGCTGTGGAAATTAGTGTGATAATGCAGGTTCTGTGTTCATGACTTCACTGCTGCATTAGATAAGAAGAAAAAGTAGCTGCTGTGTGGGAGAAAGCCCTGATTTAAGCAAGTTGTGTACATTTCACACATATGTCAGTGAAGATAATACATGAAAAGAATGTAGAGTTGTTCAAGCTGCTAGGATTTTCTCTGTCTTCTTAGGGAAAAAAAAAAAAAAAAAAAAAAAAAAAAAAAAAGAGGAGGATAAATAGCCCCAGAGATCTAGTGGCAGTTCCAGTCTTTTGCCTTTCAAGACGTCAGTCGTCCAGCTTGGGTTATGGCCTTCATCATTTCAGATTGGAAAGAGCATTTTGGAGACCCTCATGAGACAGATGCAGGAGCTACAGGGTGAGGAATAAATGGATTTCTTCCTAGAGATACCCATGGCTAGCTCTCTTGTTTGAGAGAGTGAGGTGGATTTATGTGCACAGGTAAATTTGTGTATTGATCTGTCTTCATCACTTGATCAATTTTAGTATTATTCTCTGTCCTAGCATTTTGCATGTCTATAAGGAATTAAATAGGCTTAATACTTACATTATTTTCTAGTTTTCTTTCTTGATTAGTATTTAATATTCCAGAGCTCATTGGTTCCTTGTTACGTATGACTGGTTTAGAAAAGGCTAACTTACATGTTAGTGATACTGTTAACCACAGCATTCAGCTCGTCTTCTTTCCTTGCTTTTGTTTTAATGCATGACCCATTATTCTTAGCCACATCTGTTCTTCAACATTGTTTGCTAGGCAGTTCAAAGTGGGAAACATTAACAGCGTAGCTATCTGGCTTTAGATCTATGTTGTCCCTGCACATTCAGAAAATAAAAACTTATATTGCTCTTTGTCCTAACATTTGTAAATACATGCACAGTTTGTAAATGCGTAAATACATATTCATTTCTCCTCTGATGAACACGGCTTCCTTTCATATGCACAAGATTTCACAAGTTACTTGTTAGGCAAAGCAAGGTTTCAAAGGACGCATTCTGTACGTGTGCACCAGAGTGTATGTATGCTGTTTTTTCAATATATGTTGTTTTCTTTCACTACTAAATGCAAAACTGGGAACAAGTCCAGAATCTTTAATAGCTAGAATGTATTTCATGCTGATTCCCTCCAAATTGGCATTCTTCATTGCCAAGTTCTAAAGCGAGGGCTGTGATGATGATGAATTTCTCTAATGGGATTTTTGTTCAGGGCTGCCTGATATTTATATTTTTGTACTCTGGGATTCAGACAGAAGGTCTCTGCTTATAAAAGGGCCCAATATCTTTCTAGCTGAAATGCCCTTAGGAAATAGGTGCTGATATTTTGAGGGGTTGTATTAGATCATGATGCCCTTTTGTAAATTTTATGTTGTCATGATGTTTCTTAGCTTACTCAGTTGTGTCATTTCACTACTGAAATTCACGACAGATTTTGTTAAGCTCTTTGTTGTTCTTGGTATTATGTCTTGGTGGTTCAGTGCTTATATATATGAAAATAATTTCTTAATTTCCTAATAGGCAGTATTAATATAATAGAACTGTATCCCCAGTTCCGTTCCATAGAAACTAATGTGTTGTTTTTAAATACATATGAAAATGAGGTCACGCTCTCTTTTCTGGGCAGCACATGAAGAAATGAGTTGCACATGGAGTATGAGCATCTTGCTTGTTAGTGGCTACATTTCCCTGACATAAAAAGGGATTTTGCAAAACATTGTCTACCAGCTTGTGGAAAGAACTAAGCCAAGGGAGGGGAGTTCATGCAAAAATAAGAGAATTTTCAAAGGTGAGGGCAAGAACAAGAGAAATGTGAGAGTGGGAGAGAAGAGAAAAAGGAGATAGGTTCTCATTTAGGAGAATGAAGGGACCATGAAGGAAAAAATCCAAGGAGTGGTTTGGTTGAGGCATTGGGCTGCTGCCTGGTCTTTTCAGCGCAGCATTGCATTTAAGTCATAGCTATTGAAGAAAGGCAACAGCTGCTACTTCAGAGCATGAGGCAGAGGAACTATTGTGGGGACAGAAAAATATTATCGATACAGAGGCATGCCTTTCCGAGGGACTGTCTTGCACAAGCCACTCTGCTTTATGTAACAAAAGGCTTGTGACACGATGCATGGTTTAGTCATAGGAGTGGACAAATATTGAACATCTGGAAACATTTAAACAAGTAATTAGTTTCTGGAAAAAGGGCACATTACTCAAGTAAGATGTAGTCCATTGTGTTGGCTTCTGACTATGCATCTGCAATATGTATGATTCTCCTACTGGCTTAACAATCGCTTTTCCACTGCTTACACTCAGTGGTTGTATGTGGGGAGGGGTAATTCACTTGTGTCGGGAGTGACAAGCAGATAGCATGAGGTGCTGTGACACTCTGGCCACTTTGGAAAAAGGGCAAGTGAACAGGGAGCCGGGGAGGGGAAGGTGTTTCTCTCTTGTTCACCGCTAGCACTCAGCATCCCACCTGGTCGTGCCCTGCTTTGAGGGCAAGGATCTGATCCTGTGAGGTTTCACTGATCTGGATAGATGTCGTCAGAGCAGTCTAGTGCCACCTGGGGCAGCCTTTCCTACCAGGGTTCAAGATCTCACAGCCCACTTTATTCCTAGGCTCCCCTAGGAATACAGAGGGTGCCGCACCATCTGTGCCTAATCTATGATATTAGATAGCATGTGTGTATAGAATTATGAAGCTACAATGAGACTGATGTGTTGCCCATCAATTGAATATTGCCTGCCACTGGTGATGTGCTGCCCAGCTGCATAGGAGGGATGTACATGCCTCCACAGGTAGGGCTAGCCAGTTGGGCAGTAATTCGGGGCCAGAGCACGTGGTCTGCCTTGTGACAAGCTGCAGCATCTCGTGCGAAAGAGCAGCCACCTGAAATGGTGAATGGCAGGCCAGGAAAGCAGGTCATACCTGGCACCAACGTGTCCGAGGTCTCTGAGCCCTGTGTCTTCATGGTCGTTGGCGTGCTGGTGCTTTCTAACTGCTGCCTCCTGCAGAAGCTTTTCCAGTGATAATCACTGTGGTTGTTTGTCGTTGCAGAAGTAACGCTGAAGGTCCATGTAAGCGATGCCAGCACACATCAGCCAGTAACTGAAGCCTTCATTGAGATTTTTACCAACCAGATCTCCATTGCATCTGGAACCTCAGGAGCAGATGGCACTGCCTTCCTCAAGTTTCAGTATAAGTTGGGCAATCAGCTGATAGTGACTGCTAGTAAACATGCATATGTGCCAAATTCTGCACCATGGAAACCTGTAAGATTGCCTGGTAAGAGACCTTTATTTTTGTTCTGAGGTAAGATTTTGCGTCTAAAGGAAGTTACACAATTTTATATGATATATTTTAATGCTTGCAATCCTGGGTGGGAGGAAGAACATCTGTGCATTTCAGAAGTGCAAGGTTCCTTCCTCAGCTAAGCTGTGGCATGAGGGCTGTGCAGAGATTCGCTCTGCTCCTCCCTGTCCTTGATACAGTGCTGTGTCAGTTTTCAAACAACTGTTGGTACTCTTACAGCTCCACAGAACGTACAGATCTACTCCAGATCTTTTTCTTTATAGGAACTCTGTTTTCAAATGCTCTCTTTCAGCATCTGTGATGTACTAGTTCTTTTCTCTCCTGAGGTATAGCAACAACTGTTGCACTATAGGCCAGCCCTGGCCTTCCAGTTCTTGGCCATGTCTCATAGCACAGTCTAAATCTGTAATTGTTATCCAGCTGTAAAGACTTTCTAACATAATTAGCATGGTTAGTTTCTTCAACAGGCAAACAATTACAGTAATAATACTTGCATGCTATTTCTTACCTGAATGCTTCAAAATTTTGTGGAAAATAGGAGCTGTTACATTAGTGGTACAGGAGGGGAAACTGAGTCCTGAAGTGTACTTCTGTACTGCTAAACCAAACAGGTCAAGGGTGCCTTTTTGACCTTGGAACATGACAACTAGATGAAGGTCACATCCCCCAGCTTTCATCTACCTTTCCTCTAATCCCCAATCACAATTAGGGTCCAAGCAGTTTGGGAGTGGTCTCAGACCTGTGTTACATCCAAAGCATACCTGGGCATCACCTTGGGTTTGGTAATTAGCCCAGGTCAATTCCATGCCAAGTGTTAAATGCAATAATATTTAAAATAGCATAAGGCACAGGGCAGTGTTCGGTCCCATGCTCTGACTCTGCTTTATTTATTAATACCAACACAGTGAGTGGGAACATGTGTCTTGCCTCAAGTTCAAGCAGCAAATCTGTGTTTGGACTGGGTAAACAGTTTGAATTTCTTCAAACCCAGAATTATGCTCTACGTATTTCAACATGCCGCTTACTTGCCTGAGTTTGCTTGCTTCAGAAAAGATGGACTGACTTCTTCCATGTTTCCACTACCTCTGTCTGCTATGTTCTCTGTCTACTTATTGAACCTTTAGGGAAGAGCAGGGCTGTTAGGAGTATAATGAACGAATAAGAAGCAACTGGAATGAGTTGCAGCACAGAAGGTTTCAAGTAAATAAAAGGAAACAATTCTGTACAGCAACAGCAGCTGAAGTTTGGAACAGGTTGCCCAGAAAGGTTGTGTTATCTCTACCTTTAAAGATATTCTGAACTGAACTGGACAACCCCATGCATGGCTGAAGCAGGTGACCTCCAGAGCTCCCTCCTAACCTTAATTATGCTATGATTGTAGCTAGAAACTTCCTTGATTTTTTTTTTTCTATTTAAATATGCTGAAGTGAAGCTTCCTCAGCATACTTAACATACTTCCTTAAGATACAATCATAAATGATTAGAGCATGCATTAACCTTTCCTTGCCCTATGTCTCCTATATTTCCTACTCACACCCTAAATCTTTTGAATGCTGTATATTCTTCCATGGGCCTGGAGTTTGTTCAGTTAGGGTTTTTTGTTTGTTGCTTTCTCTTAAATATTGATTTTGAGGGAAGGGAATTAAATATGGTAGTATTGTTTTGGTAAGTCATTGAAGTTTAAAGAGCAGTAATTCTATACGGTTTCCACAAAATCTTTCTATCTACAGCTGAAATCTGAGCTTTACTCAGAAAACAGATTCCTTTCACCTTTAATCTTCTCCATTGAAATTGGTATATCATTTCCTATTGATTTAGTTGGGAGTAGAATCCTTTCTTTTGCTTTCCCTGCTGTGAACTTAATCCTTTCTTTGATTAAAGAAACAACAAGTTACAACTTGATCCATCTCATGTAGATTTAACAGGTTTGTTCTTTGAATTACTCCTTAAAAGGGCCCTGACACAATAATTCAGACCAAAATACTTAGGCTGTTATTTTTGTGTTCGGCTCCGATGCCTGTTGTATTTAAAATACTTACAAAGATCCATTTGTATTTAAATGCCCCCCTTGTGATGCTTGTGACCAGCACAATGTAGAAGTTTTGAAAACTATGAGAGTTCTCTTGTTGCCTTTGGTTTTAATCTGAGTTGAATGATGGGGAATGGGCAGCATATTTAGATCTTGTTTCTGCAACAGCAGGATCTTCATTTCCTCATGAAAATGAAAATCTTTCATTTCTTCATGAAAATGCTGTTTAACAGTACTAGTATTTGTCATTCCACAGACCAGATATGCCATTCTGAGCAGAGTTCCACCCATGCCAGTGGTTTAAACTCACGTGCCATTCTGTATGCTGTGGTAAAGGAGATATGGACAGATTATTTCCACCACCTCAATGTGGAAATGACAACCACAAGCGGGAGTAGCTTTGAAAGCTGTAGGCTGATAATGTTGAAAGCACTGTAACAAGCCTTTGCTGAGGGGTCAGGATTCTTCCATCAGAGGCAATATGCATTAGTTGTAACGCTATGCTGAAAGGCTGTGCAGCCACTGATCTCATGATATTATTGTAGTAGCTTTAAGAATCAAACACTGAAGACTTTCTGTTCTCATAATTCAGCAGAAATCAACTTTTCTCATATCAACCAAAATGATTACTAGCTCTTTACCACTTAAGCAGGAGGATTATTTATTTACATAGTGATAAATGGCAGGAGGAAAAGATTAAGATCTCTTTTTCCATTAAACTATTTATCAGCAGAGCCATGACTCCAATTATTAACAGTTCATTAATTTAACATCACTTGACTTGTTGAAGTGTTCATGATGCTTCCATGTGTACTCATCTATTTGTTCTTGGCTACACATAGATTTTGCTTTGAAAATAGTTTGAAAGCAAATAAAATTGCAACTGTTATTCCATATTCAGGAGGACATTTAGGGGAGAGTGATGTTACTGAGAAGCCCAGTTCAGACTGGGTGGTAACATCAGCCAAAGGAAACCATGGGGAAAGATGGTTCTAGGAGCAGTTCTAGGAGCTTGCTGTGTTTCTGGTGGGGAAGATCTCACCTGGGAAGCAGTGGCTCTGCAGAAGACATGAGACATGGTAGGTCAGTGGTTGAGAACAAGCTCACGATGCAGCACTGCAACAAGAGGGAATAATCTGTAAAATGAGGAAAAACAAAGACTGAGAAGACTGGGTGTACCATCTCAGCACTTCTTGGTATGACCACTCTGAGAAATGTGTGTCTAGTTCTAGATCTGCAATTCAAGAAGAATGTTTAAAACTGCACGGGTATATAGAGTGATTAAGCCATAGAAATATGGCTTACAGGGAAACATTTGCTTACAGGGAAACAGTGCTTAATTTATTTTGTTCATCATAGGAAAAATCGTGGAGTAATTTCGATCATAGTCCATCAGTGCCTGCATAGAAATGAGTAAGAAATCTTCTGTCTAGTGGACTTGTGTTGTAAAGATGATCAATAAATTTCAACAGGTAGAAAGACAGTTTAACAGCCATCGTAATTTGTTCCTAGAATGCTGATGTTGTGGTGTATCCTTCACCACTGGACATCTTTACAGGAAAAAATGGATTACTTTTCTACAACGTATTTTCTAGTTTAAGCACAGCAATTGGATCTGAAGCAGTAATTAATTCAGAGAAGGCTGGAGTAAGACTAGATCTTGAAAACATTAATTATTTTTTTAAAGTACAATATGCAGTCTTCCTCTTTCTTCAAACATCTGTATTAGAGTTAGAATAGTTCAGTTGGAAGGGAACTTCAAAGAACATCAAGTCCAACTTGCTGACCTCTTCAGGGCTGGCCACAAGGTGAAGCATGTCACCGAGGACATTGTCCAAACGTCCCTTGAGCACAGACAGGCACGGGGCACCATCTGCCTCTCCAGGAAGCCCATCCCGGTGTGTGACCACCCTCATGGCACTGACATTTCTCCTCACACCCAGCCTGGCCTTCCCCTGGCACAGCTCTGTGCCCTTCCCATGCCCTGCCATCGCTCACCAAGGAGCAGAGGCCAGCACTTCCCTCGGCGCCTCCCCTCCTCAGGAGGCTGCCCAGAGCCATGAGACAGCCTCTCAGCCTCCTCTTCTCCACAGCCCAGGTGTCCCCAGCCTCTCCTCACAGCACAGGCCTTCCAGCCCTCTTACAGCCTTGATGCCCTCCTCTGGATGCTATCAAGGCCCTGAACATCCTTTTATATTGTGAACTACACACAATATTCAAGGTGGAGCAGCACCAACATTCAAATGCAGCAGGAGGGAGGATCACCTCTTCTGGCCGGCTGGCTGTGCTGTGCTCAGGACACCCCGAAATGGGGTTTGCCCTCCTGGCTGCCAGGGCACGCTGCTGGCTCATGCTGTGCCTGCTGCCACCGGCACCCCCAGGTCCCTTTCTGCTGAGCTGCTCCCAGCCACTCGTCACCCAGCCTGGGCCTGGCATTACTTCATCAGCTGCAGCACCCGGCTTTTACCCTTGTTGAATTCCATGCCACTGATCTCTTGTATAAAGCAATGCATGTTAATTGAGAGGAAATTTAAAAACCGTCAGAAAATTTGAAGGCCTTGTGCTTCTACTAATCAGTTCTGGAAATGTTTTCATCAGCTCGTGCTCACTTCAGAGTGGGCCAAGCACCTTCCAGGTGCAGGTGCAGGATAGTGCCCAGGTATCAAAAATGCCTAGTCTGCATTAACTCCCTGCTCTCCTGCCCTTGAAAGCCATGCATGAAGTGCGGGCAGATATAACTCCTGCTCTTTTCATGGGTGCATATTTTGATGGATGCAGGAATCAGGTGTTCTCAGTGGCTAATTCTGTGCATATATCTGGTCTGCTGGGTCTGAAAAGTTTGGCATGATATTATGTCATATTTTTACTTTCCAGATATGTATGCATATCCTCCCAACACCCACACCTACCCATCCCCTTTAAGGAATGTGTGTGCCCAGTGGCAGAGGAGGCCTTTCAACACAGATTTCTTGCAATAAAGCCATTTATTTGTCCTCTTCCATACCACATGATAGATTGACACTAGTTCTGCTATATGTAGAGGTTCTATAGTGTAGGTGGTGACTCAGTAAGGACATGCTGTATTTTAAAGCAAATTATTCAGGCTTATTCACCATAGTTTGCATTTCTGTATGACTTTTTATGTAAGCATCTCAAAAGTATAAGTTTCATTAAAATCTTTCTGAGGTAAGAAGTGTAACCATTTCACATCAGAAATAATTCAGTCAGACTGAGTTAGTGTTTCACTCATCTTTATGTAATGGCAAGTCTTTCTGTGGAGCTGGGAACTATAACCTGAAACCCTGCTTTCCACTGTACCCTTCTGTACTTGGACCTACTGTGCATGGCTTTATCGGGAATCAAAGTGTAGAACATACTGTTTAGTTCAATAATGATTACGCTGGCAATTTAATTATTTGGTTTAGAAAATGCATGTGATTTCTCTCCCATATATAATATGATTTTAATAGCGTTGGTTGCCTGTATTTGCAAAAATAAAGAAGTTCTGTTGTTGTTGGGTTATGTTTGAGCATTCGAGTATATCCCACTTAAACCAATTATCTTCTACAGTATTCTCTTCACTGAGTCTTGGCCTTCTTCCTGAACGCTCAGCTACTCTAATGGTCTATGATGATGTAGTCCAAATAGTCTCAGGATTTCAAGGTAAGCTGATTTTTGGAAGTTGGAATTGAAACTTAAATGATATTTCAAACAAACAAACAAAAAAACCTGCCAGCCTCATACATTCTGAACTCTATAGTGTGGGTGAGACTAGTATTTCATATGGGATTCTTGTGAGTTCCCTACAGAATGTTCCTCTCTGGGATGGTTTTACTGAATCGATTAATAGTGAAATTCATCCCTAACTGCTGTGACTAGGGAATCCAAGTTACTTGGTAATAAACAAGTTTGAACTTTCATGTGCCATTTGAGAGCTAGAGATTAAATTTCTTTTGCTGTCTGTTAGATGTTAGATCATCTAACCTCCTCTGATCATCCTACAGTACATGTTTTCTGATGTTCTTACTATCTAAGAATTTTCTCTAATTTTTTCTTGCCTCCTACTGTGAATGCTAGAAGAATAGAAAAATTGAAAATACCTCATATGTGCATTGATAATATATAAACTTGCTTTTCTTAATTAATTCCTCTGGACCGCTTAGCAGACTGCCTGCAAGCCCACATACTACAGTGAAACCCACTGTATTAGAAGAATAAAATCTAGATTCCCTTTTCATAAGGCAAAACAGAAGTAAAAGAAGCTGTAGTATCAGTCCAATGAATATGCTGTATTTTCTGAACTGCACAGCAGAAAATCAACATGTTCATCTAGCAGGGATCTGACCTAACTTAGCCCAGCTGATCTGATATGCTGAGGTAAGTCTGCTAACAAAAGAACAGAACTTCCTAAAGATACCTCAGTGAGACAAAACAAAGGGTCATCCTTCCTGTGAGCACTCTGTACATAAACTCTGTCCTATTCACATCCATTATGAATACCATCATTTTAAACTCTAGCAGATAATAATAAACAGGGGAATAGTACCTTCAATAATACTGCAAGATAACCTTGTTTTATCCGAGGGAATATAATTCAATTATGCCTTCCTAACATCTTTTTTTATGGTTAGAAACCATCCAGACACAATAGGCTTTTCATTAATGAGAGCACTAGATAGGACTGAAGCTGGAAAAGCACTAAACAAATTACATAGCTGATGGAACGCTCAGAAGGAGCTAGAGAACAACACAGCTGTGGTACATAAATTCTGCAGCTTGAGAGCTGACATTAGATAATAGGGTAAATTAGATGGACAGCGGACTGTGTTAAATCACAAGGGATTCCATAGGACAAAACACGAAACACTGTTTACCAACAGTATTCTTCTAACATTACAGAGTAAATACTCATATTCTTATGCAAATGTGCTACTATTACACAATTTGCTTAAAATAAAAATATTCGTTTTTTTTTTTTTACAGCTTCCTTTCTTAAAAAAAAATAAAAATAAACAGGGACACTTAAGGGCCAGGGAGACACGTAACAGCCAATGAGACTCTTAAATATTTTCTGTGTAATCTTGCTCCCTGGGTGAGTTGATCAAGGGTGTTCCAATATATTAGAATAAAGTAACTGATTCTGCTGGTATAGCAGAGAAAGAAAATGAAGAAAAAAAATGTTACCCAGAGTATTCTAAGAGTTTGAATTTGAACTCTCATTCTTGCACAGTAAAAACTATTTTATGGGACCAACCCACGCTCCTTTTCTTGGGAATTGTCCTGTGATGAAACCTAAATGAAAGACAGCCTAGACATTGTACCAGTGTTTGAATGGAACCTCTCTAATCATGATCCAAAATCCTTGTGACCTAGTTTTTCTCTGTTACTTCTCCAATTTATTTCCTAGTTACTTCAAGCTGCTGCAGAATAGTTGATCAGGAGTTACCTTAATGCAAAAACGAGAGCAAAACAGAACTTATTATACTAGGCACAGACTGGGAACACTGGTGTTTGAGGCGCCAATCAAAGGAAAAGAAAGGCATGTCTAGTACAGTAAGTTACCAGTTGCTTTTGAATAATTAAGCAAGCAAGCAACTTCTTATGCAATTGAGAAGTTTGTCTGAGTTGATGCAGCCAACTTCATGTTCATGATAGCGTTACATCCATTGCTGCATCCTGTCAGTAACTGAGATAGAGCTTGCCAGCTCAGCCCCTAGGTCATTTAAGTTATTTAATACCAGCACAGTGATGAGCTGAACTTCTGCATTCAGTGCATGGGAACTGTATCAGTACCCTTTGTCTTTCTTTGCCATACAGGCAATCAGAGCATGAACTGATTATATTTCAGATGTTACTTCACATAGATTGAAGCTAAACTGTTGGTGTGGTGCCACGTGTCACACATTCCTTGTGGCAGGAGATGCCTTACAGGAACTCCTTGAGAAGTGCACTGGCAAATGGAAAATGACAGCATTCAAATCACAGTTGGTATGCTGACAAGAGGATGCCTAAAGACGATAAGATTGGTGCTAAAAGCCCTTTCCCTTATGGCACTCACCAAAATGGAGAGAGCTCACGTGCCAATTTTATAGTAAAGTGTATTGGTTTTAATTTTGTTTTTATAAGTTAATTCCCATGAGCATCCCCAGTGGGGAGAAAGGGACGTTCCTGGACAGAGAGGGAGGACAGCTTGTGGCAGCACAGCTTGAGGGGAAAGCAGCATTACTGACGTAAAGAAAACCCTACCTGGAAACGCGGTCTTCACTGGGTGTGCATTCACTTTAATGCCCAAATTTCCAAGCACATCCTAATGATTTAAGCATCTGAGAGGTGAATGATTCTCTTCCTGTTTTAAGAGAGAGGAAGAGCAAGATGCAAAGGATGAGTAGCTTCCCTGAGGTCCTGGACTTGACCTCTTAAAAGGAAACCGGGTTCCTTGGGGCATTTCAATATCAAGGAGTTTGTTAATCTAGGATGTGAATTAAGTAGTTATTCTGTACCAATTATTTGTATTTATATGCACAGGCTAGCTACAAAGGAAGCTGTTCCTCAGTAGCTTCCGCCTTAAAATTTGCATACAAATTTATTCCTGTGCAGGTTTCCTGTCAGTTTTGGGACTTAGCCATGGGAACATTTTGCGTTGTCTGTAGGGTTCAAAAAATTGAGGTTTTGTTTTTGAGTTTTTCTCCCTTTGTATTTATGATTTGGCAGCTCATGGCTCTCTCAGTGCTACTAAATAATCCTTTTTTAATAGAAAACTCCAGAACCGACCCATAAATTGTTGTGGTAATGGATTCAACAACAGTTATTTTATTGTTAATTCTTAATTACTTGGATCTTCAGAAATACAATGCCAATTCTTGGCAACTTGAATAATTCATCTTTATCAGATATTTAGTCAGCAGAAAATCCTACATTTTTACATTGAACTGATAGTGATAATCTTAATACTATTTTTATTGTTGTGGTTTTTGCTGTTTTGTTACTGTGGATGCTTATCCATATGGGACATATGAACCCACAGCAGTGCAGTCAGAGATTTGTGAGTGTTTGAACAGATGTGCCCCTGAGGAGCAGCAAACGATTACAATATTGTAAAGCACTAGGGAGATAAGTCTTTCCCAAGTTCATTTCAGTCAATTTATTTAGTCTTTTATATTGTTTTCCATTTACACCTAGAAATTGGCTGAGAGAGATTTCTTCCCATTTCACAGGTGTGTTGTTTAATGACTATCTTAAACATTTAAGAATACTGCTAGTCTTGAGATCCTGCTGTAAATACCTTAAAGTTTAAGGAATTTAAGGGGGAAAAAACAAACAAACAGCTTATTCTTGCAGAATTACTAAAGAAATGACAGCTAAACAATGATCAGCTCTTTGAATACACTTGCCTGCCTATTTGACAATTTTTGTTGGCCAACACAAAGCTTGTTCTGTTTTCTCATAGCTAGAACTCCTGCTAGAAGGTAATTCAAGAAAAGATGCCAGCCTCCTGGTTAATGACATTGGCAGTTGTAACATTTAAGAGTTGAATCAAGCTCTTTAATCTTTATCTCAGTGAAATGACACACAACCTGAAGCTGCTGCTTTTTTTAGGAAAAGAAGCAAAACTGTTTTGAGTTGTCATCCTTGAACCACGTAGTCAAATACAAATTAAGGAAAGAACTGCTTGCCTCTTGATTTTAAGCTGTGGGGGGAGTGTGCAATGAGTATTCAACAAGAGCTCTGGGGAACACAATAGATTCTGATTTAAAAATTAATTTGCATGTAGCACACAAACTTGCAGATGGAGTCTTGCTGTGTGTTGCTAAACAGTATTAATGGTGAGCATCCATTGAAAAAGACTATTGACTCTGTAATCCAGGATTTAAATGAGAGATGAAATAGCACATGATACAGTCTTAAATCATGTTACAGTAAGACCCTTCAATTAACAGCTAGTGATCCTGAAAAAAATGCTAAAACTATACAAGACAGAGGAAAAAAGAGAAATTACATGCCAAATAATCTGGTTCTGTTTAGATATGTACTTTGCATGGGAAAGTATGGAAACTGTTTTCACCCGAGCTTTGTCAAGTGAATCTTTTTATCCAGTGGTTTAAATAAAAAGTGACTATTATATCAGCAGTAGAGACAGTTATCATGGCGAAAGCTATGTAAAAATACAGTGTGGAAAGTACCCGAGTTAATTGGGACTAGAATTGGTAGTTTCTTAGAATAATACTTTAGAGTGCAAACAATTTAAATTTCTATATCAAAAGAAACAAAATGTAAACAAAAAAATGATGAACAGGATACTTCCCTGAGCTTTCAGATGCGATACCTCTGAATTTGATTTTAATTTCAGTGACATTCATTGAAAGAAGCATGTAATTAAATTTGAAGTGATCCTGGCAAATAATGTAGTCAGAAAAGATTCTGACATTAGATGCTTGAACAATTTTCCTCAGTAATGCTTCTAGAAAAACAATAGCAATTGCAAAACAAATGTAGAACTACTGTTTTTCGTCCATGTGCTCAGTAGCCTTCTGATGTCTCTGTCCTTCTCAAGCTATTTTAATTTGTAATGAAAACAACTGTACATATGCTTCCATAACTGTGAACTCCTAAATATTCTGCCCACTTCGGATATAAAGACGCTTTTAATTTTTTTTAGGTGCACGGACTCAGCCACAAGTTCACTTTCAGAGAAGATCTGTGAAATTACCAGAGAACACTAGCTACAGTGATTTGACAGCATATCTAACTGCAGCCAGTTCACCCTGGGAAGTGGACAGTTTCCCTTATTTGCAGGGATTAGATGGAAATGGAACAGGTAACCCACCACTTCGGTTTTGCTCTATTTTCAAATCGGTCAAGGTACCAACTCTTGACTGTATCAACGTCAAGATTCTGTTACAACAGAATTTAGATAACATTATATATTCAACTGCCCTATCAAAATTCTGTTCTAATGAGCAGTTTTCACTTGGCAGAATTCTTATGGTATTGACATCAGCTGGTTCTCCTGCTGATAATCATAGTTAAAGGAATCAGTCCTCAAATCAATGCAGAGAGCAACGTCCCTCCTAAATGGGACCACTGAATAGCAAAGATGAAGACTTGGCCTTAGAAGAACAGAAAAGTTTCTTATACCTGTAGTGTTAAACTAAGTCTCCAAATAATGTCATTTTGCATGTGCACATACAAAAACAGAGATCAATGTGAAGGGGCAAAAGAGAATTTAAATTGAGAATGCAATAAAGTTTCTTGTTGCTTTTTTATCTAAAAATATGTATATCAAGGATTTAATACTCTGTTGTATTAAATCTAGCTTCAGCAGAAGCAAAATTCAGCAAAATTCTTCTTGCACCAAAGGGAAAACACAGGCAGTGTTAAATTCAAAGCCATAATGCATTTTATGACTACAACTGCCTGTTATTCTTTTTCCACTTCTCATTGAGTCTGAAATAATTGCTGTTATGTAGGCTAGAGAAAAATAGATGAATTGGACACAGAAAGCTTGAAATGCTTAAAATGTTGCAAAAAGAACAACATGTTCTCTGTGTCTGTATTGGGTTAGAAAGAAAGCAGTGGACTTGCAGTGCAGCAAAAGAGATTGAGATTAGTGATTAGGAAAACCTGCTGTGGTGTAGGTCATTCAAGCTATAGAATCAGTTGCTTGAGGGTGTTGGACTGAATTAGAAAATCACCTGTCAGGATGGCAGAGGCAGAGCTGCTTTGAAGCAGGCTAAATAACCCCTTGAGGTCCCTCCTTGCTGTTTCTCAGGATACATTTACTTGTGATGTTTTGATCTAGGTGACTTTGAATGCTAGGTCATGCGAGTAAAGGGTATGTGACTGAGCTTCCTAGTTCTTCCTTGGGATGGGGGGAACAGGAACTAGCAAAATAAACTTCCCTTTCCCTTTGTACATATCTGAATATCTCCTTTTTTATTACAATTAGAAATGTGTCATCTACCTTACTTCAACTCTTCTGTCTGCTTCAGTGAATACATCTCATCCTATCCCTTCATCTGTCATTTCCCTACTCTCATCTTCAACCTTCAGTTTCCTCTCTCTGTTTATACTCAAACACAGTCTAATATCTTTTATCTCCTTCTAAAATGAAGGGACATACCTATCACATTCGTCCCTCTGTATACTTCCTAATCTCCTTTATTTTTATCTCTAAACCCACTAAACAAATTGTTGACAATGTGTGGGGAATTCCTCTCTCCCAGTGCTTTTCTCAGTGCTCTGCAAACCAGCTTCCCACACTTGCATTTATTTAGTGGCATTTTGGCAAGGCCTGTTTTCACATGATCACCACTCACAGGAACTACACAAGTAGGACATCATCTTCCTCCTGTTTTACCTCCTGGCCTCCTACGAAACAGATGAATGCACCCTTAGTTTTTTAGTCTTCTGTATGCTAGCATGCACAGACTATGAAAGGATCTTTTCTGTTTGAGCATGTTGTCCTGGATCTGACCTTTGTTAACCTTCAATTAAAAGTGTGTGCCAAAAGAGCAAAATGATCTGTAAAGAAATGAGTTCTAAGAGACTGAGAAGAGTCTTGTCTTCTGAATATTGTAGTATCTGGTACAGTAGAATATAAACTATGAATACATTATATTCATATATGCATAATGGTATAGGGGAAATGCATTCTATTTTTAGTAGAAGTTTCTCCTGCTGTGGAAACATTAAACTTCAAAATCTTAACCTTGGATTGACTTCATTTTCTTCAGCTCTGAGTGACTTGATGAAGATTTCACCTGAAAAACTTCTGAAGGAATAAAAAATGACACCAGCACCTGGGAATTAAAAAGAAAAGAATAAAAATATGTATAAATTTTAGAATTCTTAAGCAACTTTGCTGCCTCTCCACCCACCTACTACTCTACTGGTCTTTCACAGAGTATTAGTAGGTCTGTGGACTTCAAGAGAGGTCCTCCCATTTGTTTAAATCATCTCAGTTCTCTGGCTCACTTTTATCCAGTGACTTCGCGGTTACTTTAACTAAAACATGTTCTCTATGAATTCAACAGGTTTTGTTTAGTTTTATAAGATCCTAAGTGGATGTTGAAGTAGTAATGTGGGCCAGTGGAGATTCATTGCATGAATCAGCATGTTCCAAACATAAAAGTTCAAACAATTTTGCTGCAAGTCGTGATAAGCCTGTATAGTGTTAGCTTATTGTTTGTATTAGTCACCACTTGGAAAGCAGTAGGATGGTTTCACAAAATATCCTTTTAACCAATCTAAACAAAACTTTCCATTGTTTGCAGGGATGGACCAAGCTGTCTAATAATCATTACTCCTGCTGTTTTTTGTAGGCTGTTTCCTTTTCATAAAGAGTCAAGTCTAAGTCACAGTGGATTTTCCTCTGATTTTTTTTTTTAGAGCTCTTTACAGGTCACCAGATGTCAAAAATGGAAATAAATAAATGAAAGCTGACATTTATTGAAGTCCATTCCCATTTAATCTGTGCATGTGCTTATCAGTTGTATAGCATGTGAGGGTTTCATAAGCATTGATTTTAATTTACCTTCACAACTGAAAGGAGACAAACATATCTTTTTAACGAGAGTTTACATACTGTACAAGATGGCAAACTGAAGGACTTTTTATTCTTCTTGCCTAGAGATCAGTAGATTTCAGAAAGTTCTTTGTCTTCTAATCTAACTTCAGCCCAGTATTGAGCAAAGCGTCAGTGCTCCTAAAGTAAAAAAAATGTGAGCAGTGTTTCATCCTTAGGATGCTTCTTTTGGGGCTAGATAATGCATTTTTTGCAGACATTGAAAGCAGATAAGATTTATCAAGACAGGAATGAAAGCAAAATTCAAAAACTTCAATATGTAAAAATAAGTAAAATATAATTTAATTGTAGATATTGATCTAAATGTTTCTAAAATCCAAAGTTGCACTTTTTGTCATTAGGAATTTGGATGTGCCAGAAAGGGATCAGGTCGTGGTGCTTAGCAAGAGGAACTGATTTCTCTGATACCAGCAGGAGAAGCCTAGTGGCCCAAATCCAGTGACTTGGGGCCAGGCATCAATCAGACAGAAGTTACAGGTACATGGGAGAGGCAGGGGACCGAGTGATCATGAATAAAACAACTTTCCCCACCAGTTCCCTCCTCTCTTTCTGCTTCATATCCTAAAGCTGTAGGGGTGTGATACCATGCACCATTGGAGCCTGTAATATAAAGGCTTGGGTAGGCTGGCACCTTTCCCCTATTCCCTATTTGAATTCTTAAACCTTATTTTCTGTTTGTTTTTTGTTTGTTTGTTAGTTTTTCCTCTATGTTGCCTGTGTGGCTCTCTTACACGGCCATCTTCAGTGCTCCTGTTTTCTCAAAACTTTAATCCCTCTGCAGGACATGCCCCTGCCCCTCGGTTTGTGGCAGATCAAAGCCAACTGTGTGCCCTTGTGTGTGCTTTCATCCGTCCTTGGCCTGTCAGCTGGGGAACAGCAACACTCCCCTTGAAATGTGGGAAAAATGTGCGTCAAAGTAGATGCTGTTGTAAACAAGCCACATGCAGAGTTCCTTGTGGTTATTTCGCATGTCTTCAGCTTGGCACCTCTTGCAAAATTCAAAGAATTTAAAGTTCTTGGGGGTTTTGAGGAGCTCTGTCTTTTTTTCCCCTGTGCCACCCCCACTCCTCCAGCCTTTTCCTGGTGGTGTCTTTACTTTGGTGAGCTGACTGCCCCTGAGAGGCACTGAGCTTCACAGAGGCCATTCCTTGACACTTACTCACTGCTAGGAGACATCATAAAAGTCTTAATGCTGTTGTCCAGCACTCCCTCTGCTGTCTTGAACAGATTTGCCCTAACGAAGACTGGCACCGAGATGCTACATATTCCAGAGGACTGCTTGTTGTGACTTGGTGTAGCTGATGGGCACAGCACTTGGGTGAAAAAGTGCTTTCACAGGCAGTTAGTGCAGATATCAGGCAACAGGATTACAGCAAGGGTGTAATCTCTCTCTGCAAACCAGGCACCCCAGCCAGGCTCCTTTTCTCGTGTGCAAAGATCAGCCCCGCAGCAAAATTAGCAGCTGCACAACCACCAAGGCCAGCACAAAGGAGAAGGCAGGGCAGTTGCTTGTAGCAGCAGTGTGGACCCAGGTGGGCTCAAGCCCCTTGCAAAACTTCCAGGTCCATGCCTTTGGTTTAGACTTCTGCAGGTATTGCTTTGAGCTCCAGATCTTCTTGGTTTTAAGCAGTACCTGAGGCTTTTTTCCTGAATACCTGAATGCATCTTCCTTATTTTTCTGCAATTGATTCATTTGGTTGACCTAGCTGAAGGGTTATAACATTTTTTTAAACCACATTGTTGTGAAGTAACACCCATTGGCATATAGTTTAAATATAAAGAATACTAATAATATTGCACAGATAAGATAATACTATAAATCAATTTAGCTTGGTTGATTTCAGGTGATGTTTCTTTTTGTTTGTTTTTGGTTTTTGTTTTTTTTTTAAACCCTGATTATGTCTGTGATACCCGTGTGTATTAGTTTAAAATGAATGAAGGTGCAAAAATATATACAGGAGAATTCACATTGTATTTTTCTTGTCTTTGCTATTTTTAACTTACTTAATTTTGGAAAATTCCAAAATATATACATCTTGGTGAATTTTGTAATGTAGGGCAGATTAATACTACCTTCCCTTGAGAAATGTCAGTCCAATGCTGTGGTGTTGAACCACCTGAGTGTCTCTTAAACTTCAGGAAAGTCTGTAGTCATAATATTCATTCATTCTCTTGGTAGGAAACAGCACTCGGTATGACCTCACCCCTGTCACTGCAGTCAGCGTTCACCTTCTCAACAGCGATGGGACTCCAATCCCAGTGAATGGCCCCATCTATGTAACAGTGCCTCTGCCAACAAACAGCAACTTGAAGCACAATGCACACGTTCCAGCGTGGAGGTTTGACCAAAAATTCGGTAGGTAACATTTAACTGTGCTTCCTTCGATGGCTTCATTTATCTGAAAATGATGTCTCACTGCGCTTATTATGTTATATATTGAAGTTTTCACTGGAGTGTACAGAAATAGATTTTCTGTCTAAAAGGAGAGAAGACAGAGTTTTATTATTCAAGTAATATGTACTGTATATGTAAATATACTTGAGCAGTATGAGGTGCCACTTCCAGACAAAAATCTTTTGTAAATGTAATATTTTACAATTATTAAATATTTTACATAAAACGATTTTGAGAGGACTTGATTTCAGCCAGAGACTGAGAAACAGACATAACGGCTGCAGCACTGAAGTGGAAGTCTGGAGAAATGGAAACTAGCCTTATCTCTGCCACCAGTCAGCTATTTGACCTTTGGTCCATCTCTTTTCTCTGTGGCTCAGTTTCCTGTCTGACAGATAGGAAACATAATACTGACTCCTTTTGTAAATCACTTTGAGGTTGACTAATACCATCAAGAAAGTACGTGTAGATGTTTAAAAAAAAAAGTCATGAAATATTTTGAAAGGACAAAAAGCCTAATTAACGCAATCTGTAAAATGTTCTCGTTTTTTTACATTGCAGAATAACTTTTGCTGTAGTGAGCAGGATTTCTCCAGAAATCCGTGTTATAGGATCTCTGTTTTTTTTGATATAGGGGTTATTTTTGTTTAGGGTTTTGTGGGTTTTGGTTTGGTTGTGTTTTTGGTTTTTATTGTTTTGTTTTGTTTTCATTGCTAGCTGGTATACCATGCTGGCCTTCTTTATACTTTCAAAGTGTAAAGAATTAAGGGTATAAGTCTTGTCCTGGTGATTCTACTTCAGTTATTCCATTGTCTTTTCTGAAGTATATACCAGATGGTTGCTAAAAAGAAGTCAAGGAAGAAGAATGGAAGGTGAGAAAAGCGGAGGCTGTGAGATAGAGAGAACGAAAAAGAAGCCAGAGATGCAGATCATTACAGACAATCAGTGGAGCTTTGTCCCTGCAAGGCAAAAGTTTGAGCCAGTTTATGATCACATCCAGAAGGAGAACTAGCCTGAATCCGCTCTGTTGGGGGAAGGGGTAAGAGAGAGGTGAGGGGGGAAATAGTGTTTTTGCTTCCTTCCTGCCTCTGTTTGCTGAAAAAGCCTTTTTTTTTTTTTTTTTTCTTTTTTAAATAGCATTCCTGCTAAATCCTTTGTCAGGAATTAGATGTATTAGAGAGTACAGCAGTAGGATTTAATAAAGAGTAGGTTTGAACACAGTACAAAATTGAACAGTAGAAGAAGAGTGTGATGATGAATTCAGGGTTCCCCTTAACTGGGGAAATGTTGGTTTTCTTGTGGTGCCCCTAACAGTAAGTTTTACTTTCTGCCTGACACTGATTTTGATTTGTGATTCTAGAGAGTGTTTTGTTTTCCCTTGTTCAAGAAAAGGCTGGTAAGACTGGCTCATGTTTGCCTTCTCCACAAGAAGCAGTCCATCCCTAATCCTTCCTGTCAGCTGCGTTACAACCGTAGCATGCCTCACTGCTAGTTACTGACTGCTAGTAAAATGGCTCTGATTTCGATTACAGAGCTTTCTCATTTATGGCCAAATTTCCATGCCCCTTTGGTGAGGCCTCCAAAGCTCTCTTACAATGGAAGATGTATTTTTACTGTTGCATATAAAAAGCTAGTTAGACTGTTACGTGCAGTATATGTTAGTATAGATAAATATGGGCTCATTAATTAGTGGTGCAGCTTGAGGCTCCCAATCTTGAGACAAGTTCAACCTTGTTTGCTTCATGACAAACTGCTGGAGTACTTGAGGTGTTGTGAGGAGAAGGCGTGAGGACTACTAAACAAAAAGCATTTTTTGTCAGGGCTCTTGACTTCACAAAGCCACGGAGAGGAAGGTATTGAAGATGTTATGCTTAGGCTCCAGCTCACACTTCAGCTGAAGTAAGCATCTTTCCATGCAGCCGAAGACATTGAACAAAGGCTCATTTAAGCCCCGATTGCAGCATGCCAGTTCTAGCAGAATTTTGGCCACATCCCAACCAATTTAAATTAGAGCAGCCTAATTTAATAAGTAGAGCAGCTACTCTATCTTTTGCGGGCTACATTAGCACCCTAAGGGCTGTCAACCTAGCCATATGTAGCGCGAACGCGGTGGTACCCTGTCATTCCCCGTGCCTGTTGTGCTTGGAGTCTGAAGGGAGGAGGATGGCTGATAACTGGGATGGCTCCATGCTGGAGAAATGTTTACCAGGCAAGTAAGTTGGTGTAACGTTTGCATTGCCGGATCTGTGCCTGCTCAGGATAGGCCCTCTAACCTCATTATTCTGATTTTGGCTTTCATTTCAGGAGCTGTTTTTTCAGTGTTAATTATGTTGTGGTCTCTCCTTAATAGATTTTCAGTGGCTTAAATTTTCACACTTGTATCTGAAAATTGAGTAAATGCCAGAGATGGAAAACTGTGAATGTATTACGAGGCAATAATGCAGTGCTTCTCTCTAGCGTATTTGCAGTACAGTGGGCGCTTGTTCATTCAAGCCATTGTTTTTGTTCAGAATCCATGTGGTTGTCATCATTACTGTAGGAAGTGTAATTTCTGCTCTAAAAAGCAGAAAAACTTTTTCACTTTTAGGGAAGGGAGTGGAGAAGGGACAGAAACACTAGAAATGTATTTCAGTTCTTAGAATTGCATACGTTCTGCTGAGCTCATGATGTACTGATATAAACCCAGTGGCATCTGACTGGAAGTGCAGAGATTTTCATAGTTTCTACAGAAATTATGCGTATTTGCATATTACTGCAGCCAAAAATAATTAATGGCTTCTTAGGATGTTTACCATAAACAGTCTGTATTTTCATTGCCACAGTTTCTGTCTTTTCTCCAGGAAGAACTGGAGAGAGAAGGGGGAGAAGCAGCATAGTTTGCTTAAGGCTGAGGGTAGCTCCACTGACACTGATGAAACAGCCAGCCAGAAAAAGCAGGCTGACACCAAGATAAGACAATCTGCTGCATCTAGTTTATATTGTTACAAACGAGATGTTTCATTACAAAACAAACTTATTGCCTTGCCTGCATGGTGAACAAATTAAAGCACTAATACCTTTGTGAATAATTAATGAAATGAAGAGCATCTAACTATGCTCTGGAGAAGTTTTAGGACAAATGAATGCTTCCAACCTTGTTCTTGTGCTGGAGATACTCAGCCACCTTTCTCTGCAGCAATTCTTAGTGTTGGTAATAGGCACAGGTGCATTGATGTTGTGGAGACATACAGTAAAATGCAATTTCATCATTCTGCACTGTTGATATACCTGTATCTCTCTTGGATCTCATGCACCACTGGAAGAGTGCTTATATTTCAGTTTTGAACATAAGAGATATGGATTTTCATTTTTATAATCAGGATTGTTTAGTGATTCTTGTTTTGTTTTGTTTTTCCATTTTCTAAGTCCTGTCTTATTTCCCTCCAAACTCTGAAGTGGTTGAAAACTTTTCATTTTTTTCTTTATCCATAAGCAGATGTTTGGGATCATGACTTCCTCCTTGTGTGTTTGCCTTGATGTCAGTAGGATTTACAGCAATATACACCAAATTTCTGTCCCAGACTTCTTTCTAACCTTGTCCATTTCTGTCAGAAATGAATACTACACGCTACACATGCCAGTTGAAATTTAACTTTTTACCTCCTGAATGTTTTCCTGCTCCCACCAGCTGGGCAAAATATCACGCCTATGAATAGTTAGATGTGTTCTCCTCAGCCATTTGAACATTGGAATGGTTTTTGCTTTATGCTAAGCTGTCCATTTTTCATTTGAATCAGTGAGCAAAACTGTAAGACCAGAACTCTTCATTTCAAGTTGTCATTTTCATCCCATGTGGTATGGAAGCATTACATTGCCTGTAGACTACTAGATCTATATCTAGATCTGTATGAATGACTTAAAAGTATTACTAAATACTGCAGATCACATAATATGGAAGTGAAGTTTATTCTTTAGTGACAGTACCGATGCATCTGAATCCCACCAAGGAACAGGAAAATATTTTCAACACTTCTCAACAGTGTATGGCAAAAGACTCTTGGAGTGAAGGAGATGAACCTCCTCCCTTTGTCTCTTCACTCCTTAAAATGTGTTCCCTTTTGTGCAATAACATACATGAAGTTCAGAGTACTATTTCTCTGTTCCTGCTCCTCCCCAAACACTTGGTGTACGTCGCTGACATGACCTTGTGGGGTTTAAATTGCTAGCTTCTTCACAGGGGAGGAGATTTTCCCCAGTGCCTGAAAGCTCAACCATGTATTAATGTAAAGTGATAGCAGAATATGGAGACAAGTATCTTGGGGAACTCTTTTTATAGCTTTATAAAGAGCAATATTTTATGTACTCTCACTGTGCTGTGTCAGTGCTTTCTGGCTGCATTTGATGCCATAATAGATATCTAAATACATTGGGATGTCTGATACTTTTTATTGGGTGACGTGCTGCCTCCACTGAAAAAATATCCATTGATTTTTGTGGAGTCAGAATGTCCTACGTGTTCCTTCTTCAGCAAAATGAAGATAATGTTTTCTGTGCTCGTAAGAAGTTGTGAGAATATACTTACATATAAAGACTGTGGGTACCTATTTAAACTTGACTGCAATATGGTTTTGTTGTATTTCGTGTAGATCAAGTTCATTTTATGTTCCTAGCGCTTACAGGAAGAGAGGAGCAGCTCCTGTCAGGACCTGTAGCAGGTTATGTCTGCCTGTCTAATAGTTCTAGATAAGGTGACTTGTAAAAGTCTCCAATTTGAAATTCCCATGTGGTAGCAATAATAATTCTCCCAAAGGAAACAACAACTTTTTCATAGTTTAAAAATAAAATGCATTCCTCTTTGTTGTGGATTCAGTTAACTTCTGATTGCCACCATATTCATGCACTGCACGATAGACATGAACTAAATTAACAAAAAAATAATGCAGTCCATGCTCTGAACTTAGGTCGGACGGACTGTGTTTGGA